TCAGGCTGGGGGACCGCTCACTCGCGGCTCCGCTGGTCAGCACTACCCTGAGGGATCCGCGGCCTTACAAACGCAAGCAGCCAGGAGCAACGTGGTGGGGGTGGGGGGAGGTACAAAGGGAGGCCCCCCCAGGAAGGCGGCGTGACCCCCAGAGGGCCAGGTCATCAGCACTTCAGGGACAGGATCCCACCAGCCCTGGGCCCGCAGACCCTGCGGGGGGACGTGCGGAGGCTCAGCCCGTGGAGCTGGGAGTCCGCGGGAGCCCAACCCCGACCCCCAGGTCCACCTCCACGCTCACTCGCCAAACCTCACAGGCCTGGGGCCCAGCACGCACACCCCGCTCGCGCCCTGTGCTGGCCACACCCTCTCTCTGGCCAGACCTCCCATGCACACACCCCCTGGACGGAGGCCAGGCCCTGCCTGGAGGCCTCCCTCCAGAGGGCGGATGGACGGAGGATGGAGGTGACAGGTGACAGGGGGTTGGGCCGGGCACCAAGCCTGAGCTCAGACACCCCCAGCTCTCTCTGGATGAAGGAGCAGAACTGTGCCCACCTGGATCCCAGTAAAGGCCCTGCGGTGCTCACGCTGACCCACACACAGACCCGCAGGCCTGAGCTCACATGGTGCCCACTAGAGCACACCCCCCCCCGCCACCCCCAGCGGCCCTGTGCCGACCCCGGTCCCCTCACACAGAATGAGGCCTCCCCCTCCCCAAGGGTCGCCCCACCTGTAGCCCAAGGAGCCACCCCTGCCCGACATCCGCAGACAGACCCCTGGGAGCCCAGGGGGCCACCTGGACACCCACCCTGTGGATGGTGGGAGGCAGCAGGCCTGCCCCCCGGGGTGCCGGGCATGGACTCCCCCCAGGCTCACTGCACCCCTCACCCCCACATCCAGCCGGAGGTAACCCAGAGGGACCCGGACCTGTGACGGGCCAGCTGGGGGCAGGACCAGATGACAGACCTCCGAGGTGCTGGGAGTCGATCCTGCAATTTGAAGCGGGGGCGACGAACAGAGCTGCTGCCAGGAGAGTTGTCTCCTCAGGCTGCCCACGATCGTGGCCGGGAGGGGCCAGGGGGCTGCAAGGCCCTCCCCAGGCCCCGCGCCCCGAAGTCACCCCGATAGCCCAACGAGACACAGCGCCAGCAGCCTCCTCCGTCCACGCGGGGCCCCTGGAGACCCAGGGAAGCAGCCCTGCTGCCATCAGACTCCAGCCCACCTGCTCCCCGAGGACAGATGGGTGGGGGTGCTGGGGGCGCAGAGGCACGAGGCAGAGGACAGCGCACAACACCAGACTCGAGAGAAGGCGGGCTGGCGAGTCGCAGGTGGGACCTGGACCAGGGCCTCAAGGCAGCCCCCAAATCCACACAGTGACCCCAACTTCAGCCCCAGAAGGGGGCCCTGCGCCAAACTCGACCAAACCCCCCTCAGCCCTGGCAAGTCCAGCACCTACGCCCACACACCCAGGTGCCCAGCAAGGCCACCGCCGACCGGAGGGCTCCCGCCACCCGGCCCGGCCCCAACCCAGGGCCTGCATCAGACATCCCTGAGCCACAGCTCCTCGCCAATTAACCCCAGACTGCAACCCCAGACTGCATTTTCCTCTCAGAGGAAAGTGAAGGCCCCAGAATATCCCCAACAAGGGGGCAGGCTGCAGGGCGCGTGTGCACATGTGCACGCACACGTGTGCGTGTGACAGTGGTCCACCCGCTTCTGGCCCAGAGCCCAAGGCTGACACTCCCCTCGCCACGGTCCCCAGCCTGTCCCTGCCGCCCCCGAAGTGTGCGCAGCTTTCCCGATTGGCAACGTCTTACCTCGTAAAAAGGTAAACAACCAACCACAAAACCGTTTCCGACAAGAGGGCAGAATACAGACGAGAAAAGATCAGCAGGGGCGACAGGGACACGGTTAAGCTGCCCAGAGGGCGGGGGGTTCCTGTCACCTTTTAAAAGTCGAGCTATCCAGGAGAATAGGTGTTAACGCGGGGCGACAAGCAAAAAAGGAGAGAAAACAGGGGAGACGGCCACAGCTGCCCCCCGCCCAGTGACTGAGGCACCCGTGGCTCTGGGCCGCGGGTCTTCCGTCTGTCCCGGAGCCTGAGGGATCAGCTCTGCCTTCACGGAGAGGGAGAAGGAGGCGTCTGCGGTTCAGGGCCGCCCCGGACGGGCACCCGCCACCCTCCTGCAGAGCACAGACCCTCCCCACCCCCGTGGCGGGGCACAGACCCTGACCCCGCCACAGGCATCCAGGCCTCGCTCCGCCACCCGCCACCCAAGAGGCCTTCTGTCCAGGCCGGGCCACTTCCTGGGGAAGAACCAGGCCCGGTCCCTCCCAGGCTGACCCACTCCACCCAGCCGGGCAGTTGGCATGAAGCTGCGGCCGTGCCTTCGCCCCGCCCAGACGCCCTGGCAGGGCCTCGCGACAGCCTGCCAGGTAGGACGCAGGACGCCCGGGAGAGGCTGGGCGCCGCGGACCACTTTCTAGTGTGTCCCGCCGTGCAGCATCTGGGACACACGGACGCTGGGACGTGCTTTATCTGCAATGCAAACCTAATGGGCGTCCTGTGCTGTTTCGTGCTGGATCCAGCAGCTCTGGCGGAGCGTCCCGCGTGGAGACGGCTCCCCCGAGCTCTGTCCCTGCGGTGTGCTGAGGCCGGGCACCCTGCCTAGCGGGGCCCGGCCCCGGGGAGAGACGCACATCTGTCCGTCAGGGCCTCTCAGGGCCCAACTCCAAGCCGGCGGCTCCTCGGGACAGGATGCCAACCTGCCGACACCCTGCCCACCCTGCCCACCGGCCCTGCGGACCCAGGGCGACAGCGCCTTGGGATCCCGTCCAGAGGTGGGGGACGGAACAGCAGGGACCAACCTGGAGTCCAAGGGGAAGCGGCCCTCCAGCTCAGGCCCCGGGAGCGCCTCCGGGACCCGCAGGGGACACGGGAGTCTGAGGCACAGGAAGGCCTGAGTGCGGCCAGGCCCTGGCCGACTGCACAGACAGGAGGCCCGGAGCCCACACGTCGAAGGGGGGACGCGAGTGTAGGCTGCGGTGCCCATGGCCTGAGAGGGGCAGAGACAGCACACAGTGGGGGTCCCACCCTGAGTGGCAGGCAGCCGAGGTGCAGCAGGGGCCGGCAGAGTGCCCCCAGCCCCCCACTGCCTCCCTCTCCAGTCTCCATCCGGGAGCTGGGCACCTCGTTCATTCATTTAGTCAACACCCCAACACGGCCCCAGGGCAGAAGCCTGGGAGGGCAGAGATGACCACACGTGCAGGGTGCTTCTGCCCAGGTAAACCTCAGGGGCACCAGGCAAGCCGGAGGGTGGGCCAACTGGAGGGGTCTCACGCCGGGCAAGAAAGGGCCTGCACGCAGAAAAGTGGTCCGAGAAGACATGGTGAGGGAGGAGTGTCGACAGGACAGCCGGGAGACCTGGGCGGGGGGCGGAGGCTGGGGGCTGCCAGCACGGAGGAGGCGAGTCAGTCCCGGGGGGGCCCTCCTGCCGCCCTCCAGTTGACTGGCCCCTGCTTGGACAGGCAAGGGTGGAAAATGAACAGGCCAGCCCCCTCCCCACGTGTCCACCAAGGGCCTGTGCTACAGCGGACACGGGCCCCCATTCCCACGACCACCTGTGAGCCAGAGAGGACGGGGGAGGGCCTGACGGGCTGGTAGGTGTCCTGCCTACCCACTGCGCGGGTGGGGGTGTGAGCCCAAGGTCACGAGGCTGGCCTGGCCCTCGGGGTCAGCTGGCCAACAACAGAGGAGACCGTGCACAGAAGTGACTCGGATGGCAAGGCCAGGGCTGTTCCCAGGCCTGACAAGCTCCACCAGAGCCAGGCAAGTGGGCCTCTCAGAACCTCACCTCCCTGTGAATGCACGGACCAGGTGGGGACCCCACGGAAAACCAGCAGTGCAGTCTCCTAGAGCCCCTCCCCACAAAGTGGGGAGGACCCAACACCAGGAGCTTCGTGGGACCCAAGGGGGGAAGGACTAGCCCAGGAGGGGAGCCCGCAGGGCCTCGGCCAGCTCAGCATCCCGAGCAGAGACCACCTGGCTCATCCACACCCCTGCAAAGCACCTCCCTGCCTCCCTGGGGAAACAGGAAGCAGCAAAAAGTTTGGGGTGTCTTGGAAGCACGCTCCTGGTGACCACAGGCTGCAAGGCCCTGGAGAGGGGATCCCCCAGGACACAGCCCCTAAGCATACTCCAGGCCCAAGCCCTCAGTGGCCCTGAGCTCCAGTGGGACGTGGTCCAACCACGGGCCCGCACCCCAGATCTGAGCCAGCCCCGCACACCGTGGGCCCTCCTCACTCCTGCGCCCCAGAGCCCCCACCCCCGGAGGGCAGCGGGGCCTCCCGCACCATGTGCTCGCTCTGCTGGGGGCGCAGGGCTCCGGCCAGACCCCCGCACAGAAGGGTGCTGGCATCCCCCACAGCTCCTCACAAACCACATGCCGCCCCCAACAGGTGGGCACAGCGCCCCCTCCCCCCCAGCTCGGCCCCTGTCCCCGCTGGCTCCAGCTGGGCGGCCCCAGGGGCCCTTTCGGGCCGCGGTGAGCGTGGCCGGGCAGGGGTGGGGGTGGAGGGCAGGCAGCTCAGAAACGATGGAGTGGGGAGGAGACGGGGTGCGGTGCAGACGAGGGGTGCGGGCGGCCGGGGGTAGGAGGGATGGCCTGGCAGGCCGGCCTGCAGTGGGGGAGGGGCGGAGGCGGGGGAGGGGACCGGAGTGGGGGGCGGGGGGATAGGGACGAAGGGATGGGGGCGGGGGAGGGAAACGGGGGAGGGGGCGGGCGGGGACCGCGGCGCGGGGTGCAGAGCGGCCCCAGGGATGGCGAGGCCCGGGGCGGCGGTTTGGGACCGAGGCCGGCCAGGGGCAGAGACGGCGGGGCCGGGCCGGGGGCCGGGAGTCCGGGGGGTCCGGGGCCCGGAGCGGGGGTCCGGGTGAGGGCCCGGCGGGGGCCCGGCCGCGGCGCATAAAGGCGGCGGCGGCGGCGGACAGGCGGCGGCCTTACCTCCGACCCTGTACATGTTGGCGGCCATGTCCGGCGGCGGCGGCGGGGGCCGCGGGCTGGGCCGGGCGGGCGCGGGGCTCGGCGCGGGCGGCCGGGAGGACGCGGCGCGGGCGCGGGCGCGGGCGCGGGGGCGGGCGGTTTAAAGGGGCCGCGCTGCTCCGCCGCCGCCGCCGCCGCCGAGGCCGCCGAGGCCGCGCAGGGACCGAGGCCGCGGGCGGGCGGGAGAGGAAGAGGAGGGGCCGCGCGAGGGAGGGGCCTGGGCGCCGCCGCGCCCCCCGCGGGGCCGTTTCCCGGGCGCCCCGCCCCGCGCCGCGCGCCCCCGGCCTCCGCCGCCCGCGCGCCCCGCGTCCCCGCTCCCCGCGCCTGGCCTCCGCCGCCCGCTAGCCCCCTCTCCCCGCGCCCGGCCCCGGGGTCTTTGTCCCTGCCCCCCGGCCCCGCCTGGACGGCGGCGGGTCCCCATCCCACCTCCGCGCGGGCACCTCCTCCCTGGACTGCGGCCCGAGGAACCGGCCAAGGGACAGGGTGGCCGTGCCCAGAGGACCCTCTGGGAGGCCCCGCCCGGGAGCGGGGCAGGAGGGGGGGTCCGACGCGGATGGTGGGGGTGGGGGGCGGTGTTGGGGGCCTGGCAGGGGGTATGGGGGGCGGGCTGGCAGTCCGTGCCCAGGACAGCGAGGTGGAAGGGCCGTGGGTGAGGCACCGGCCTGCCCTCCGCAGGCGCGGCAGAACCTGCCACGCTGTGTGGGCTTAAGTCCGAGGATGGCGGTGGCCCGGGCGCTGCCCGCAGGGGAAAGTGGAGGCTGGAGGTGGCGGCCCGGGTGGCCGGGAGCGGGCCCAGTGGCGATTCTAGACCAGCCCGCTGCTCGGGGGGCCAGGGGAGGGAGGTGAGGGGCCCAGGGTGACTGTCCCATCTGCTTGGGGACATCCCTGTGGGACATGAGGGGACAGAGCCCAGGACAGGCCCCAGGCCCCGTACCTCGTGGAGACTGAGGGCAGCTAGAAGGCAGGAGCTCAGCCCTGGGGCCATTCAGGCAGGCCCCCCTAAGGGGAGGGGGCAGGAACGTCCCTCTCCCCACAGCCCGTCCTGACTCAGTGACCTGCTCTACCGCCTCTGGGCAGCGAAGCTGCACCCTGAAGTCTCCGTCCACCAGCACCCATCAAGTTGACGACAGTAAGAACCACCGATAGAGGCCCAGGCAGCAAAGAGCCCCACACTTCCCGGCTGTAAAGTGCCTGCTCCTGTCTCCCCGAGAGTGGCATCCACCTGCAGCACCACCAGCCCGCCACGGGGAGAAGCGACGAAGGGCAGAGGCTGTCTTCTCCCGGCCGGGGTGGGGGATGGGGTGAGTGGCAGGCAGGGCTGCCTTTCCCCGGAAGTCTCAGGGAAGCTACTGGAATTCCAGGTCTCCCCCTCCCAAAGCAGAGCGACATCTACTAACCGCCCCCCGCCCCCGCCCCCCGCTCCTCTGCTTTGCCCTCTCCGGACGAACAAGAAAGGGGGATTGCATGCAGGGCCCAGAGCTCACACCAGCTCAGTGGCATGGCAACAGACCACAGGCACCTTGCAGAAAAGACTTTGGAATTCTGCATTTAGTGGCAGAGCAAGTAGACGCTCAGGAAAGAGCCTGGAGGGCGTGCCACATAGGACGCGGCAGCCATGTCCAAGACCACAAGGGCAGCAGAAAGAGTGGGGGGTGGGGGCGAGGGGCAATGGGAGTCGCCGACACAGGAGCCCTGTGATCCGAGGTCAGACCTTAGATGACAAGACAGCAGAGTGAGAGCAAGATGTAAGAGCCGAGGAAACAGGTCAGGATCACGCCTTTGCTAGAGCAAGAAATCAAGGAGCCCAGGGTGGCGATGACTAGCACGGGGAAGCCTGGAGGTGGTCTGGGGTAAGACCAAGCAGTTAGAACAATCGTTTCGTCATTCATTTGCTAAGCACCCACTTCAAGCCACACACTTTAGATGATGGGGGTGGGGAGGGGCAGTCACTGTCCAGCAGGGAAGCGGTAACAAATATGACAGTTCAGGACTTGAAGACAAAGTGATGAGAAGGGTCAGGGGACAAGCGCTCATGGTGGGGGCACTGTTTGTTTAGAGGCGGGGACACTGGTGAGTGAGGGACCCATGGGGGCCTAACAGGGGGTGAAGAGGTCCAGAGGCCACTGGACAGGGTGGCATCCCTGTGCAGGGCCTGCAGGGCTCCAGGCGACCTGAGCTGACCTTTGGCCCTGGTGGCCACATGCCGAGGGATAGGGACAGCAGCAGCATGTGGAGCCAAGTGACCCCAGTGGAAGGCACAGGGCGCAGGAGCCTGCAGTCAGAAAAAGGCTCGAAGATCCACCACAGTCCAGTCTCCCCAGCATCACCTGGGAGCCCCCAGGACCACAGCGGGGTGAGTCGCACGGAGTCCACCTCGCCTGCTCACTCAGCCTCAGAGACGAGAGATGCTCTTCAGAAAAACCATGTCACATGCAGCAAGGACAAAAGCTGGCCCCGTTCTCCGCAGCAACGTTTGAGACCTGAAGACCAAGTCGGGAGGCTGAGAATACTTAACCAGAGAATCCTGCTCCAGCCTGCAGAGGGTGCCGTCCAGCGGGGGACAGGGAAGAGATGACAAAGAGGACAGTTGAGGCCTTGAAGACAGAGGGACAAGGGTCAGGGCACAGGGCGATCACAGTGGGGGCACTGGTGACGCAGGCACTCTTGGGAGCCTAACAGTGGGTGAAGAGGTCCCACCCTGAGAGTCTAAAGGCCTTGGGCAAACATTTTTAAACCTAGAGGTACCTGAGAAATAAGGTTCTTAAAAAATGTAAAAGCTGACCTTCCAAGTAGCCAATAAGGTTGTAATCAAAACAAAGACAGGGCAGTCCTGGCAGTGGGGAGCTCACCACCACGGAATAGGGAGTCAGGTGGGGAGGCACAGGAAAGCCTTGAGGAGAGCAGGGCACAGGAGTGACTGGCCAGTTGGCCAGGCAGGCACAGAGCTGCAGCGCCCTTCACCTTCCAAAACCCAGCATCAGATGGAAGGGTATCGCACAAACCCAGTTAACACCCGTCTCTCAATGTTTGCTGTAATTTCTAAAAATAATCTTGAGAATCTTGTAAACTTCGGATGAAGAAACATTCATCTAATTTCAGTAGCATGTCTTCCCTTAAATTTTTAAAAATCTGAAAGAATTCTACGTTTATTCTGTAGTTCCATATATCCTCTCATCTCTGCCTGGGTGCTTAGAAATATTGGAACCACCCTCACCTAATGTTGACACCTTTCCTCTCGGTGATGAAATTGTAGGCAAGATTTTTTTTTTAACTTTATTGCTGAATAGCGAGCAAGTATTCTTGCAAAGCCAATGAAGACATTTTTCTCAATGGGCAATGCTGGGCACCGAGTGTCCGCAGCCCTTGGGACCCATGCCCTGCAAACTAGGCTGAAGGGCGCCCCTTTCTGTTTGGGGTGTCCAGAGCGGCCTCTGCTCCTGCTCTGAGCCCCCCCGACCCTCAAGCACAGAGGGGTACCAGGGTGCAAGGGAGACCACGCAGTTGGGAGGACCGTCCTCTCTGCCTGGGGGTGTCCCCGTGAGTCTGGGGAGGTTCCTTCAGGGAGGGAAGTGGAATAAAGGCGCCCTGCACTGCCCACTGTCGGTGGCGACGGGTGGCATCCTAACCAGAGGCTGCTGCCTGATCTGTCTGCTCCCAGGCCGCCTCCTCTCTTCCAGGGGTTCCCAGACAGGTCCCTGGTGCTGTCTGGGGCCTGACCGTTCTCAGCAGTGAGGGGCTGTCCACTGCTCCTGGGATGTTTAGCAATCCCTAGCCCCCCCCCCCCCGCCCCGCCACGCTCCCACTCAGTGCCAGGAGCCCCGGTGGAAGGCAAAGTGCCCCTTCCTCAGAGACGTCCACATCTTCCCCCAAACCTCTGGCCATACTGGGCAGAACAGCAAGGGAGGAGTCAGGGTGGCTGACCAGGTGGCCGTGAAACACTATCCTGGGTCATCCAGGTGGTCCTCGAACGTAGAGGAAGAGGTGGAGGAGGCGGCTCCTCTGTGGCTCTGAAGACGGAGGAAGGGGCCACGAGCCAAGGGAAGTGGGTGGCTTCTAGAAGCTGGAAAGGCTGGAGCTCCCGGGAGGAAGGCAGCCCTGCCCACACCCTGCTCTTAGCCCAGTGAGGTCCATTCCAGATTTCTACAGAATCTACTGTCCATGAATTTGTGTGAAGACACCAAGGTTTGTGGCATCTTGTTAGGGCGGCAATAGGAAACCGACACACCCAGGGTGACAAGGAAGCTGTCTCCAGGCTCCGCCAGCCGCACCCAGGCTCCACGCCCTGCTGAGAGGTTCGGTCCCCACCAGGCCCCCGACGGCTGCTGCTGCTGTGCTGGTTAGGGGGAGACCGGTGCAGTCGAAAGGCCCTGAGACTGCCTGCAGGACGGCGGGCCGGCCAGCCCGGGGCTGGACTCACGCCACCGACTGCGGCCTACGGAGAGCCCCCCTGGCGAGACCAGGAGACACGGCTGGGCGAGCCCGGCAAGGCCCAGGTCTTCATTGAAAATGTGGGGTCCTGTAAGGCCTCTGGGGTAAAGAACTCACAGCACTTGTCACCTCTGTCTTAACTGCAGACACTTCAGCTTGGGCTGCAGGGAGTCCTCCCGGCCAGCATGGAGACTGGCGCAGAGTCGGTTCTGGCCCCTGACACCTGCCCCCCACTTTATCAGGGGTCCTTGAGGAGATGGGGGACAGTCATGAGACCCCTCAGGGCCCTGTCTAGACCTCAGCCCACTCCTCTCCCACCTCTTAGGACACCCCCCCCCCAGTTCTACTCACCACCCCCACAATCCCTGGGCCCCTCCACTCACCCTGGGGATTCTGAGAAATTTGCAGGCCTGGAACAAGAGTGCACTCAGGGGACCTCCGAAAGTGCAGCCTGGGGGGCTGGCTGTGTGATCGCGGATGGCTTCCTGGAGGAGGAACCTGTGCGGAGCCTTAAGGTAAAGCAGAGCAGGAGGCCAGGATGGGCAGCTAGGATCATCTCAGCAGCCGGCTCGCTGAGCGAGCGAGGCCAGAACTCGGGCACTACCCACATCCTGGGCCTGGGGGTGGGGTGGACCACCTCGTTTTGCCCAAAGCCCCCCTCCCACCCACTGCTCTCTTCAGCCCCTAGCTGTCAGTCACCACGTGCAGGAGGGGACCTGCCGATGCCAGCCTCCTGCTGCCCCAAGGCTGGGCCCGTGAGCCCTCCCCGCCTTCCTCCTCCCACCCCCCACCGCTGCCAGCCTGGTCTCCCCAGATGCAGCCCCATGCCACTGTCACCCGCAGCCCAGAAGCCTCCTGTCCACCCCCGAACTTGAGGCAAAGGCAGACAGCATGGCAGGTCAGGGCGAGCTCCTCACAGCTGCCCCAGGCCCTCTGCGCTCCCTGCCTCCTGGGCCCTCATCCACCTACGAGCTCCCTGTGCAGAGAAGGGACAGCGCCACCTCCTCCAGGAAGCCTCCCTCTGTGTGGGAGCCGCCCTGGCCCCCGCGGCCTCTGGCCTTCTCCCCATCACATCGCCTCCCCCTGGGCCTGCCGAGGACCTGGTGCTCCTGGGCCGGGTGGCGCCAGCACCGAGCGGTTCAAACATGCAAACCTCCACCCCGCTGGAAGAGCATGGTCCCCTCGCTGCTGCACCCCTACCCACACGCATGCGTGCTCAGTCGCCTCAGTCGTATCCAACTCTTTGCGACCCTATGGACTGCAGCCTTCCAGCTGGCGGGTGCCCAGTCACCCCAGGGGCCAGGCTCCCCAGCCCAGACCCCTTCCACCTGGGCTGCTGACAGCTGTCCCTAAAGCAGGCCCAGAAGGGGAGCTGCTAGAGCCTCACACCCTCCCAGGCCACCCACCGCTGCTGGTCCCAGGAAGATGGCCCTGCTGGGGTGGGCACCCTCTGCTGGCAGCCCAGGGGGCCATCCTGGAGGGCCACTCTACCCTGCCCCCAGACCCTCCAGGTGGCCTCTTGGAGGCTGGGCTGGGACAAGGAACCCCAACCAGAGGTGACCTCCAAGGGTGAGTGTCCTGAGAAGGGGGCAGCCAGACATCCTCCCAGGCCTGTTCTCTTATCCCCGGGCTGCTCACGGCTGTCTGGAGGGTTACAGGGAGGGCGCAGGGACCTACTCCCCAGTACCCGCAGGAAAGGCGCCAGAACACAAAACACTTGTCTGAGTCGGTTCTTAGGAGGGCGGCGACCTCGAGGCCGGGGCCTCCAGAGTCACGTTGTGCCAGAAAGGCTTGCTCCGGACCAGGAAGGCTTGGAAGGCGTTGGTGGACTCGGAGGACCTCGGCGGGTGGGGGAAGAGCACGTCCTTGTCCACGTCCTCGGACACCAGCTGGGCCACGATCCGCGCGAGGTCCTGCGGGAAGGGCGGGGTCAGGGGCGGGGCGGGGCCGGACGGGGCGGGGCGGGACCCGGACGCTCCCGCGCTTCCCTTTACCCTGCAGGAGGGGGGCGCCCCCGCGAGGCCCGGCTTCTCGCCGCGGCCCAGCATGGCCAGCCTCCGGCGCTCATCTATGCTGACGCTCCAGCGGCGGTGGCTCTGGCGCCAGCTGTCCTGCGGCTCGCACACCTGGGGGGGACAAGGCAGGGGTCTGCGCCGGCCGCACTCTGCGCCCCGCAACCACCGCAGTGCTGGCAGGCAGGCAGAGCTTCAGCCCGTGGCTCTGGGGCTGTGCATGGCCTTGCTAAGTGGCTCAGCGGCTCAGCGGCTCAGCGCCTGGACACCCAGGCAGCACCTGCACTGCTTTCCTGTGCGTGGGTTGGCCCCTGGATGTTGGGGTCATTACAGCAGAGGCCGTGGCCCTGGCTAGTGCCCGTTCCTTGCTGGGCACAGCTGGCCCACCCTCTGGGGAGGCCCCCCGAACAGGCGGCCAAACTGTGAGTGCCTCAAGAAAGATGGGCCCAAAGGTCAGCCTCCTCCCAGGCCCCTCTGAAATGCCCACAGAGAGGCATTGGGGGAGATGGCGCTCAGGGCTCCATAGGCACCCAGGACAGGCCGGGAGGCATCCTGCGGGAGCCACACCCGCTCCTGCCCCGGAGAACATCCGCGCTGGGCTGTTCCTGAAGGGCTCGGAGCCCCTCCCGCTCTGCCCAGCCAGGGGCCAGCCGGCTGCCTCCCTGCGGGGCCTAGGAGGTCACCCTCTGGAGTGCCATGGGGGGCGGGGTAGGTGCCATGCTAAAAATAAAAGGATTAAGACAAACTCAGTCCCCATTCCTCAAAAAACTAAAAATAGAACTACCATATGACCCAACAATCCAACTTCTGGGTATACATTCAAAGGAATGGAAAGCAAGTCAAAGAGATATTTCTGCACCCGCGTTCAGAGCTACATTGTTCACCGTAGCCAAAAAGTGGCTGCAACCCAAATACCCATCAATGGATGAATGAATCAGCCTCGTGTGGCCCGTCCATACGACAGAGTATCATCCAGCCTTAAAAAGACACTCTGCATAAACTGCCACATGGATGAACCTCGGAGACACGGGCACAGGGAACACAGGTCTTGTGTAGTCCACTTGCATGAGCTACCTGGAGTCACCAGATTCGCAGAGTCAGAGCCTGGCACCGTGGCTGCCAGGGCTGGGGGAGGGGCGGGCGCGGGTTAACGGGACGGAGTTTCAGATCTGCAGGATGGAAGCTGCTGCAGGCTTCACGGTGAGGTGAGTACAGCAGACTGGCCCAGACGTTCATTCGGGGTTCTCCATGGGACAGAAAAACCCAAACGAACTTCCTGGCCAACCCAATACTTAACACTACTGAACCGGACACTTCAAAGTGGTCAGGGTGTGGTGGGGGGGCGTGGGCTCTTGGAGCCAGAAACACACACAGAAGGAAGAGAGTGTGAGGGACACGGAGAAGGAAGCGTGGACAGGCCAAGGAGAGGCGCAGTCGGCGATTTTGAACTTCTTGCCTCCAGACTTCAAAACAATACATTTCTGTTATTTAAGCAAAAAAAAAAAGGAAAAGAATAAAGCAGAGTCCCCAGCCCCTCTTCCCACTCTGCACCAAAAACCCTGGCAGCCTGGCTAAGTGCCCCCTGCACCTGGGAGACGGGAGGGGTCCTTTCTGGGGAAAAATATCAGCCCCAGAGAAGAGCCCTCCAAAGCGGGTGTGTCCAATGCAGAGGAGCCAGAAACCTGCCCAATCACCCCCTGAAGTTCGCAACTGCTGGCAGGGCTGCCCCCGGCAGATGGGGGCTGCCCCCGGCACACGGGGCCTGCTCCTGGGTTCAGACAGGGACGCAGTCCCCACGATCTGAGAAGCGCAGGGGAGAGCCACCGGCCGGGGCCTGAGAGACCTCCCCACTCCTGTCGTCGTCCTGGACTCCACGCACCCACGAGACAGAAAGAGGACAGAGTGAAAAGGGGCTGCTGCGAGGGCCGCGCTCCCTTCAACATTAACATGTGTCGTCAGAATCAAAGTTTCTGTAGAAGATGGGGGGCGGCCTGCCGGCCCATGTCACCCCCCACTCCTATGACCAACGCCCACAGCACTTTTACAGCGGCGTCACAGGTTCCCCTCTGACATGGGGCGGGTCCGAGGATGCTGGCAGCACACGTGGGTGGCCCACGCGGCCCAAGGGGGGCCTCCTGTGACGGTGTGTCCACCCGAGCACAGCCTTCCCGGGGAGACCTCTGGGGGTGAGTGGCGAGGGGAACGCCAACCCGCCGACCTGAGCCTGTGAGCAGACAGACAGAAGTCTGCTGTTATGAGTCACGGACGCTGCAGAGTCGTCTGTCACAGAGCATCATCGGAGCAAAGACTAACAACAGGACCAGCAACAAAGCCCCAAAAGCCAAGGTAAGGAAACGTGAGGAAATGGGAGAGTCAGTCATGCAGGCCCAACAGCCAACAACAGTTTTCAGAAAGAACAGAGAGGCCGCACGCACACGCACATGCACACACGCGCGCCCCACAGAGGGGACAAGGCTCCAGGCTGGAAGCGCTCCCACAGGACCGAGGAGACAGTGTGGGGACATCTGAGAACCAGGCAGAGAGGAACGGGCACATGTCGGGGGGGTGAGGAATCTGCAGGGCCGGGCCACACACACTCGCCAGAGGCAAGACGGCAGAGAACCCAGGGCCCCAAAATCCTGCAGGAAGATGACTTCCCGCTAGAAGTGTTACCCCACCCAAGTGTCACTCAAGTGTGCAGGCAGAACAAACTATCTTCAGGACGGTCCAGTCGAAACTCAATACCTGCGGGGCCTTCTGAGGAGCTTCCAGAGGCAGGGAGGGGCCCCAGCCCACCAGGCGGGAGCGAGACCCGGCTCGTTTGTGAGACAAGAGTCACAGCTGTGCTGGAAGTCTGGGAGGGATCAGAAGATGAAGAAGGGACAGGAGGGCGCCGTCATCACCTCTGGGAGACACAGGAGCTGTCTGAGAGGTGACGCTCACGGCAGAGGGAAACTGCTCACGTTCAGCTCCAGGCCAGCGTCGCTGGGGAGCAGAAGGGGCGGTGCCCAGGGAAGGAGGACCTGCGGAGTGGCAGGTGTCTGCGGGTGGGGGAAGAGGGCGAGCGCGGGGAGCCCCGCGTCCCGGGCGGGAGCCTCCACTGAGCCTCAGATCTGGGCGGGCGGCTCTTCTCAGCTCTGTGCTCACGTGGGGTATCGAGAGGCGCACAGCTGTACAGGCAGAGACCGACGCTATGAAGTGGAGCGGCCTGATAGCACGCACGGGGGCCCCCGTGCTCACTGACAGGAGGACCGTCACAAAAAGAGGCCAAGGCCCAGGCGGCGGGCAGAAGAGGGCCTCATAGCGGAAGGGAAGCCCGACTCTCAGGAGGAGGCCAGGAGGGCTCTCACCAGCCACGAGGGGGCCAGCGCTGCCCCTGAAGACACAGGGCTTTAAATGCTGCAGGATTGGAAAGCCCTGGAACAAGGCATTGAGCAAATAATTGAGGAAGCTCGGGAAACAACGAAAGAGGTTTCCCTGAAAGTTTAAAGACAGAATTAGGAAAGACTGGTGAGTAAATCAGAACGAAAAAAATACAATGGGCAATGACCGAAAGTTGGTTCTTTGAAAACCATTAAAACAGAACTCGTCTTTTTCTCTTTTTCTCACATCATCAACTCCATCTTCGTCATTTTTGCCAGTCTTTTCTTTCGTGCCCATTTTTTTTTTTTAATATTTATTTATATTGGCTGCACCCAGTCCGAGTTGTGGCCTGTGGGGTCTATTAGCAATTCCCTGGCCAGGGATCGAACCTGGCCCCCTGCACTTGGAGCATGCAGTCTCAGCCACTGGACCAGCAGGGCAGTCCCCGTGTCTTCCCTATGAACGATGTATGTCCACAGACGCAATATACTTTTCTCCTCAGTTTTAAAAACTGTCTTCTCTTTGCTCTTAAGCATCTCTTCACAGGTTTGGTTGCTAAACATTTGTATGTTCTAAATATTACAAGTATTTTTCCCAGGCCGTCCTACAACACCCTGTGTCTTTGCACCAGCCTCACACACGGCGGTCAGGTTTGTCAGGGTTTTCTTTTATGGGTTTGGCCTAAGTTGGGCATTTCCCCCTTGGACTCAACACGGTTCCCGTTCTCCCAGCGCTTCTATGTTTGGTTTTAACTAGCAGCTCGTGTGTCTGTGTATGTCTGACGAGTCAGGGGATCTTCTAGATGGATGACTGGTCACCCCAGTACTATTCATTGAAAACTGTGTTCCCCACTGGAAAATTAAACTCCCAGATTCAATCTGGGGTCCGTTTCTGGACGGTCTGTGCAGGCTGTGGGCCTCCTGGCTAGCTTCCGTCCCAGCGCCACGCGAGGCTCTCTGCTGAGAGCAGGCAAGCCAGGCCCTGCTCTTCTGCTTTAAAACTCTTGCCTGGACTCTTTTCCAGGTTAAAAAAAAAACTTAAAATCTACAATTTTTCAAATTGTGCTGTTACTCCGCAATGATACTGTTTCCTTTTGCACACTTCTGAGCCCTGAATAAAGGAAGCCCCTCACGCAGGCCCCTTTCCCACCCCCCCCGACCCCGGAGCCCGTGGTCGCTGGCCAGGCCTGGCAGCGACGAGCCTCTGAGCGCACGCAGACGGAGGCTGGCCCGCCCCCTCCCACCCAGGAGCGGTCCAAGCCTCCCTGAACCCTTGTGTGTGTCAGCGGCGGGGGCGCGTTGTCTTCAGCCCACTCTGACTCGAGTTAATCTGCCTCCCCTCCTGCCACCATGCCTTCGGCTTTGCGGGCCTTGCCCGTGCCAGGGCCGTTCTCTGCCCCCTCCCTCTGGCTCGATTGGATGTTGTTTCTAGCCCACGTCCCCTCCACTTGTTCAGAGGCGGCTCACTTCCCAGTCTTGTGATGCCATTGAAACTTGTGATGCCAGCTCACCCGGGTCTCCACGGGCTGCTCAGCCAGCACCCAGGGATCGAGGACGCTGACTTGCCAGCCAGACCAGGGAGGCACCTTCTCTAGCCTTTCTCGAACTTCCTGGTGACTGCAGCTCTCACTGGTGTCTTGGAATAACCTCACAAGAGGCCCTGAGCCAAAGCCACCCAACTAAGCAACTCCCAGTTTCCTGAACTATAGAAACTGGGATGAGAATATTTACTACTGTTCTAAGCTACTGATG